TGATAAGGTTGATGAAAGCAGCTCGGCGGAGCTCGTGATGGATGTGTCGTGACGTCATCTGATTAATGCAGCCAACTGTGGTAGCCGCTGAAGACGTTTGGTCGAGGCGTTAGATTTTACGCACCGTAGCTAACGTGTACGTTAGAGCTTTTTTTTTATTCTTCATATCAACCTAATCAGATCTGTTGAAACTGGTGGGCGTAGGTTGTGATGGGGGTAGGCTGTGGTGGGGGTAGGTTGTGGTGGGGGTAGGTTGTGGTGGGGGTAGGTTGTGGTGGGGGTAGGTTGTGGTGGGGGTAGGTTGTGGTGGGGGTAGGTTTAAAACTATAGCGATAGAGCCACAGAGGGCAGAATACAGGGATAACATTAAAAAAGAAGAAAAAAAAAAGAAGATTGGTGAATGGGTGGGGGGGGGGGGGAGGGGAAAGGATGGGAGGCAACTGATCAAGGATTTTTTTCAACAGGGGGAATAACTCCTATTCCATGTTGGGCCTGTAATAACTCATTCATGTCACGTGATGAGGCGCCACGTGACATCCCACTTCTGCGTCTTATTTCGTTTGACCCGCCCATCAACCTGCTTTACTTGACCCGCCCATTACTTGACCCGCCCATTACTTGACCCGCCCATTACTTGACCCGCCCATTACTTGACCCGCCCATTACTTGACCCGCCCATTACTTGACCCGCCCATTACTTGACACGCCCATTACTTGACCCGCCCATTACTTGACCCGCCCATTACTTGACACGCCCATTACTTGACACACCCATCAGTAACCGCTAGTACCAGACTACGTGGACTTAGTGGGCTGGTCGAAATCTTTGTACAACACAGTGTGCTCCACCGTCCCCTCCACCATCAGTTTGGTCCACTCACACTTTGACCGTTGACGTCATCAGTTTGGTCCACTCACACTTTGACCGTTGACGTCATCAGTTTGGTCCACTCACACTTTGACCGTTGACGTCATTAGTTTGGTCCACTCACACTTTGACCGTTGACGTCATCAGTTTGGTCCACTCACACTTTGACCGTTGACGTCATCAGTTTGGTCCACTCACACTTTGACCGTTGACGTCATCAGATCATACCACCCATCTGATTTAACACAGACAATATATGTGAACACGTGGGACCCGTTATTTACTTTATAACGAATATATCCCATATTACGAATATATCCCATATTACGAATATATCCCATATTACGAATATATCCCATATAACGAATATATCTTATATAACGAATATATCCTAAATAACGAATATGAAATACATGAAATATCCACGGAAGCCGCTAAGTTGAACATAAAGAAGAAATCATGGGAAATTGGAATAGAAATGTATTTTTATATCATTATTTACTTCCCCTTATCCCATGACGTCATTCTCTTAAGGAATTTTTTTTTCTAGAACTCTCCCTTTTTCCTCTGGGCACATTGACCTTGCATAAAATTCTCTGGCTTGTGTCCGAGGCAAATGGACACGTCAAATCAGATGGACAAGAAACACGGGAACACTGAAAGAAAACAATTTGAGCCCCCCCCCCCCCCCTCTCCCCAGCCCAACCCCTGCTAAAAAAGGCTTTATTTCCTAAATTATTTATTTTTAAGGGGCATCAAGACCCCCCGCCAAGCGATCAAAGATAACCCAAGATTAGTTCCTTCCTTTAAACTCAAGCCTGTTATTTTATCGAAACTTTTATTTCATTTGACAAATTGTTTCTTCATGTCTTCAAGCTAGCACCCCACCCCTCGTTCCTCCACCACCCCTCCCTTTAATGCCCCCCCCCCCCCCTAATCTTCGGCTAAACCGTATCGAAATGTTGATTGGTTTACCTTGAGCGAGTTAGCGTACCTTCCAAGGATCTGTTAATTAATCCGGCTCGCGATGAATTCGTTCACCCCCCCCCCCCCCGGTGACTCCCGACCCCTGACCTCCCTACCACCAGCGAGCTTATGATTGGCCCTTTTTAACGTACACGATGACACAAGTGTGAGCCTGACTTTCCTCATCACCCCACCCCTCCCTACCCCACCCCTCCCCTCCCTTGATCCAACCTGCTCGTCCATTAAAATCATTAAGGATGCTGAACGCTATTCCCCCTCTCTCTCCCACGCGGATCAAGCACCCCCACCCCCCTATTACACGACCCCTTGCCCACCCACCCCTAGATCCCTTTTTTCATTATCCATTCTTCACGTTACGTAAGACTTTTTTCTGGAATAACACGATTGCGCAAAGCTTTGGAGTGAAAGAGAGAGAGAGAGGGGGGGGGGGAAAGAGGGAAAAAGATGACGAATAAAAGAGGAAACAGAATGAGTGAATAACGGGAGCCAGAAAAAGGGAAGGAAAAAAAGAAAAAAAAGGAAAAAAGGAAAAAAAGGAAAAAGCTTGAATGATGCCTGTAACATGGACATGCATCTAAGAAATGAAATGTGCAGTTGGAAGTTATTTTTTGTCTCTCTTAGCCTTGTGTTTTTATAGATCGGGATAAGGGGGACGTAGAGAGCTGTGGGATGACCTTTTATGTGATAGGGTAGAGGTTCTCACATTCTATACAGTGGCACACTTTTTAGCTTATATCATTTGGTACACTACCTTTTATGTGATAGGGTAGAGGTTCTCACACTCTATACAGTGATACACTTTTTAGCTTATATCATTTGGTACACCTTCCAAGTAGTTTGGTTTATTATATAAATTTTCATTTTTATTTTAGGAGGGCTGAAATTATTTTTTTAGAATGATAGAAATTAAACAAGATATTGAGGATGGGTGAAATTATATTTTTTTTTAGAACGATTGAAATTAAACAAGATATTTAGGATGGCGGGATTTTAAAAATATTTTTATTAATTTCTAAATTGTTTTAGGATGGTAGGAATTTCTAAAAAAAAAATATAATGGTAGAAGTTTTGTTTTTTTTTAGTTTAAAAAAAAATTTCTCTAGTGTAGTTAACTATCCTGATTTGTACCACTGGTTTACACTTGGATTAGTTGTAATAATTTCTACTAGAACACTGCCGGTGGCCAGACGTGTAGTAAACGGCTACGGTCTTCACATCTTTTATCACACATCTTCTCCTAGTATTTATAGTTCTATTTTATCCAACATATCCTAGTATTTATAGACTCAGTTCTATTTTATCCCACATATCCTAGTATTTATAGTTCTATTTTATCCCACATATCCTAGTATTTATAGACTCAGTTCTATTTTATCCCACATCTCCTAGTATTTATAGACTCAGTTATATTTTATCCCAATGAACGATACATCGTCAAGCTTCTTGTTTGGCTCTTTAAAGTAAGTTTTAGCAAATAGATCACTCGGATTATAGAAAGGTTAGAGTTTTGACTATAAATCTAGTTTCAAAAAGGAATGCATGCACGATAATTCATCTAAAAAGAAAATGAAAGGGAAAGCGGAGTTGAGTTTTTACAAAATTTCAACAGACAGTAAAGGTGTGACGTTACAAAATTTTAACGGACAGTAAAGGTGTGACGTTACAAAATTTTAACGGACAGTAAAGGTGTGACGTGACAAAATTTCAACGGACAGTAAAGGTGTGACGTTACAAAATCTCAACGGACAGTAAAGGTGTGACGTGACAAAATTTTAACGGACAGTAAAGGTGTGGCGTTACAAAATCTCAACGGACAGTAAAGGTGTGACGTTACAAAATTTTAACGGACAGTAAAGGTGTGACGTGACAAAATTTCAACGGACAGTAAAGGTGTGACGTTACAAAATCTCAACGGACAGTAAAGGTGTGACGTTACAAAATTTTAACGGACAGTAAAGGTGTGGCGTTACAAAATCTCAACGGACAGTAAAGGTGTGACGACGTTGGTGTTTGTGATTCGAGCTTTGAGGCGAAAGTAAATTGGGAATAAGGGTTTTGGTGAGAGTTATGATAGGGAGGGGGTGGAGGGGCTGTTATGATGGGTAAGTTGATAAGGTCGGGGTATGGATACAATTGTTAGAGTTGAGATGGTTTTAATTGGCCTCGTAGGCGAAATGAAAACAAAGAGCGTCCTACGATGAAGAGTTGATGCAATGAAACGCCAGCGCTGATTCGCTGCTTGTAAAACAACAATTGAGAGTGTGACGTCATGTAATGAAGACGATTTCATTTCCCATCCAGACCCTGTTCTTTACCTAATTAATTTTTTTCTCTGTCCTAATTACCTTGTCAGTTTGATGCGGTTAAAAAAGTAAGAGAAAGACGGCGATGTTTATGGGGGGTTTAAGGACATTAGGTGGTAAGTTGATCAATTTATGTCTAACATTGGCACGTATGGTGGGGGCTGGGGTCAAGGTTGACGGGAGGTCAGAGGAACTAAACCCAAGGTCAGCAATAATGACAGTATCCACCTGGTTAATCTGGAAATGTCATCGATCTATGACGTCATAATCCAAACGGTTTTAACACAGCGTCGGGGCGCAAAGTGGTTCAAGGCCGAACTGTCTCAAGTCCTGCTCAGTGTGTCCATGTGGCCCTGCTATAGCCGTGTCATTTTAAACAATGTGTAGTTGTGTGAAAGCTGATGTGTAGTTGTGGGAAAGCTGGTGTGTAGTTGTATGAAAGTTGGTGTGTAGTTGTGGGAAAGCTGGTGTGTAGTTGTATGAAAGTTGGTGTGTAGTTGTGGGAAAGCTGGTGTGTAGTTGTGTGAAAGCTGATGTGTAGTTGTGTGAAAGTTGGTGTGTAGTTGTGGGAAAGCTGGTGTGTAGTTGTGGGAAAGCTGGTGTGTAGTTGTGTGAAAGCTGGTGTATAGTGGTGTGAAAGTTGAACGTATGTGTATGTCGCTATGTCAACGAATATGCTAAGAGGTGTCACATTACACAGATACACTAATCTAAATGTCCATGTGATTTATATGAATGGTGGGTTTTCAATGGAATAGTGGGGTGTTACACAAATGATGGGTTTTCACGGAACCTAATGATTAGCATTGGCCTAATTATCACACCTGTGTTTTTTTCTTCAGGTTACTTCAAGTGGACAAAGGGGGATAACCCACACGAGCACGGTAAGTGAACACATCAATATATACAGGCACTCGTCTATAAGGCGGAGGTTGGATAGACGGATGGATAGACGGATGGGCAGACGGATGGGGGTGACGGATGGGCAACGGATGGGCAGACGGATGGGCAGACGGATGGGTAGGATGGGTAGACGGATGGGCAGATGGATGAGCAGACGGATGTGTAGGATGGGTATACGGATGGGCAGACGAATGGGTAGACGTATGGGCAGACGGATGGGGGTGACGGTTGGGTAGACGGATGTGGGTGACGGATGGGTAGACGGATGGGTAGACGGATGGGTAGACGGATGTGGGTGATGGATGGGTAGACGGATGTGGGTGACGGATGGGTAGACGGATGGGTAGACGGATGGGTAGACGGATGGGTAGACGGATGTGGGTGATGGATGGGTAGACGGATGTGGGTGACGGATGGGTAGACGGATGGGTAGACGGATGGGTAGACGGATGTGGGTGACGGATGGGTAGACGGATGGGTAGACGGATGTGGGTGATGGATGGGTAGACGGATGTGGGTGACGGATGGGTAGACGGATGTGGGTGATGGATGGGTAGACGGATGTGGGTGACGGATGGGTAGACGGATGTGGGTGACGGATGGGTAGACGGATGTGGGTGACGGATGGGTAGACGGATGTGGGTGACGGATGGGTAGACGGATGTGGGTGACGGATGGGTAGACAGAGTGAAGAATTTCTAAAATATTTTAACAATAGGAAACATGTTCTGGGGTTTCAGAGAATTGGCGTAGGCGGGAGTTTTATGTGGTGGGGTGGGGGGAGTGTCATATCCACCCAATGGGGCCCACAGACAGATGTCTCATGTTTAGTTACAGCTATTGGCCACGGAAGGCTTCAGTCGCTTTCAAAGCTTTCAGCGTAAAAATTCGAATGTCATAAACAATGTAGCGCTCTCTAAATGGGAATGGAATGTATAAATTTTATATATATATATATATATATATATATATATATATATATATATATATATATATATATATATATATATATATATATAATGTTTATACAACACATTAACGATATTGAAACCCCATTCAAATAAGATCCTGCCAACGCCACTGTTTGACAGTGTAGAAATAGTACGGTCGATGTAATGTTGATGGTATGTGGGTATTAGAGAGACTGAGTATATTTACCATGCTGAATGTATGATTAATATAAATATCAAGCGTTTTAAAGCTTAAAGAGGCTATGGTGAGTATAAGGGGAGGTAACAAGAAAAAAGTTATAGTATCAACAGTAGAGTGAGTAGACTTGGTTGCCCCGAGATTGTCGTTCCCATTGTACGCGACAAGTCAACAAATCAAATGATTTACTTCCCCGGGTGTTAGACTAAAACTTGGTCGACAGGAGAAGTGAAGCAGACGTTAATGTCACCAGCAGACAGGTGAAGCAGACAGGTGAAGCAGACAGGTGAAGCAGACAGGTGAAGCAGACAGGTGAAGCAGACAGGTGAAGCAGACAGGTGAAGCAGACAGGTGAAGCAGACAGGTGAAGCAGACAGGTGAAGCAGACAGGTGAAGCAGACAGGTGAAGCAGACAGGTGAAGCAGACAGGTGAAGCAGACAGGTGAAGCAGACAGGTGAAGCAGACAGGTGAAGCAGACAGGTGAAGCAGACGATAACGTTGAGAATTGTCTACTTGCAGGTATCGGCCTGGGACCCCACGACGGCCTCCACCACGGGCTGAACGACCATCTACAACGTAACACCGGCAGCGTGGGTGGGGGCGGAGGAGGGAACGGCGGCAGCGGAGGAGGAGGGGGTGGGGGCGGAGGGGGCATCAACTACGCCCGAACCACCAGTACGGGGAGCCTGAGCGGGCCCCCCACCCCCACAAATGGCCCCGGGGGCCCTAACACGCCTCTGGTCGTCCCGCAGCCCGTCAAGCCCCCATCACGAACTGGTACGAAGACATACCAGTGCAAGATTTGTGATCAGGTAACATTTCATTTCAATACCAGTGCAAGATTTGTGATCAGGTAACATTTCATTTCAATACCAGTGCAAGATTTGTGATCAGGTAACATTTCATTTCAATACCAGTGCAAGATTTGTGATCAGGTAACATTTCATTTCAATCTATCTTACAAACTCTTCATTAAAATGTCTCATCTGGTACTTTTGTCTGTTTCTCTATAAACACCTCCCCATGCACGTATTCAGAAACCCAAACAGAGCTACCCTGTCTACCCTGTCAGGCAGGTTTTGGCTGATCCTGACACAGAAAATTGTTTTTCTGACAACAGTCGATGAGTTTATCGACCAACTCCAGTCGATGAGTTTATCGACCAAGTCCAGAACCAAGTGCCGAAATATTTCCTAAATAAATGTATGACAGTTGAGAGACACACCAGGGACAGACAACTCTGAATAAGTGTGCTCACATTTTTAAATACTTAAAGAACGCTCAGAGCAATATTTGGGTGGGGGAGGGCGTGTTATCCATACCAGTGTCGCCTAGATAACCTCGACACAATAAGGCTTAATGCCCCGCCCATGGTCCGACACAATAAGGCCTAATGCCCCGCCCATGGTCCGCCACAACTAATGCCCCGCCCATGGTCCGCCACAACTAATGCCCCGCCCATGGTCCGCCACAACTAATGCCCCGCCCATGGCCCGCCACAACTAATGCCCCGCCCATGGTCCGCCACAACTAATGCCCCGCCCATGGTCCGCCACAACTAATGCCCCGCCCATGGCCCGCCACAACTAATGCCCCGCCCATGGTCCGCCACAACTAATGCCCCGCCCATGGCCCGCCACAACTAGTGCCCCGCCCATGGCCCGCCACTACTAATGCCCCGCCCATGGTCCGCCACTACAAATGCCCCATGATGTCTACCGTGCTAGAGACGGACCAGGGCACGCGTCGATCGCATGCCAGCGTGCATGTTTAGATTTTATGACTTTTTGACGTTCGCGTCATGGTTAATTAAAGATAAAGAGTATCCAATTAACATGCGCTGAATTAAGTTTAATGGCGGCGCTCTTGTCTAAGCGTCATCAATCGCTGAGCGCGGGACTCCGTGTTTTCCGGCCATGCTGACCCCAATTTCTTGATGGCCCTTGTTTTTATCAATAGTTCTCGCGGTGCCGATGACGAAAGAGCTTGCATGCAGCCAAATCATAGTCCGTGGATGGCTTCTGGTCCCTTGTTGTGGCGCAGCTAGGGCCACTGGTGCCCACATCCGATAGACAAATCATTTCTCCGCACGAAACCAGTTATGACAAATCCGGGCCGTGGACGCCGGAAAATAAACCGGTCACCGGTCTTCTTGTAGTTACTGGAGTTGTTTGGTGTGGCGGGTAGGGGAGGGGGGGGGGGGGTGAAATAATGGTATTGCATCAAGGAAGGGGGAGGTGAAATAATGTTATTACATTAATCTCTCGGTATCTCTGCAATGCTGAGGTTCAATTTTCCGCAATTGTATGGAAACGGACATTTCAAAGTTATATAGGGTTTTAGTTCAAGTGTGTGAGTTGAATAATAGCTTGGGTTGACCAATGTCGAGTTGACCAATGTCGAGTTGACCAATGTCGAGTTGACCAATGTTGAGTTGACCAATGTCGAGTTGACCAATGTCGAGTTGACCAATGTCGAGTTGACCAATGTCGAGTTGACCAATGTCGAGTTGACCAATGTTGAGTTGACCAATGTCGAGTTGACCAATGTCGAGTTGACCAATGTCGAGTTGACCAATATCGAGTTGACCAATGTCGAGTTGACCAATGTCGAGTTGACCAATGTCGAGTTGACCAATGTCGAGTTGACCAATGTCGAGTTGACCAATGTCGAGTTGACCAATGTCGAGTTGACCAATGTCGAGTTGACCAATGTTGAGTTGACCAATGTCGAGTTGACCAATGTCGAGTTGACCAATGTCGAGTTGACCAATGTCGAGTTGACCAATGTTGAGTTGACCAATGTCGAGTTGACCAATGTTGAGTTGACCAATGTCGAGTTGACCAATGTCGAGTTGACCAATGTCGAGTTGACCAATGTCGAGTTGACCAATGTCGAGTTGACCAATGTTGAGTTGACCAATGTCGAGTTGACCAATGTTGAGTTGACCAATGTCGAGTTGACCAATGTCAATTTAACGTCCAGGCCTGGGTGGGGAATTTCCGAGGCCCTGGGGGGGGGGGAATTTCCGATCCTAAATAAAGATAATCGCCATGGCGCAGGATAATTAAGCCAATTATAATATTACATTGATTACATAAATAAAACAGTGTGGTTTAAGGGGGCTTTTTTGTGCGTAAAATTCTTCTTAAATGTGTATCTTGTTGGTTGTAATTATGCAGGTTGACCAGGTTCATTCTTAAAGCGGCTGACCGGAAGCTGCGGGCAGCATGCAGCACGCCCCTCCCCCCCCCCCCCCCCACTATCCCCACCCCCACTTACGGACATTCGACAACACCCACCTGACAGCGTCAGTTGACAAACCTCGTCTAATTGTGTAGTGTGCTCTACAGCTGTGGCCGCCGAGCTCTGTTAGATGAGAGAGTCATAGGGAGGGAGAGACAGAGAGAGGGAGAGTCAGAGGGAGGGAGAGTCAGAGGGAGGGAGAGTCATTGAGAAAATGAGGATAGAAAATATTATCCCAACTGCCTCATTTTTATCTTCCTTTCTTTTCCCTAATGTCCCTGGTCACCTGGTATTCCCTCCCTTTGCTGGCAATTTATTGTAGAAAAAATAAAATTCGAATTTTCGGCGAATCGGTATTTTATTTGAAAGTTTATTTTCAAAGAAATGATATACAATAACTACAATTCTACTTATGTAAACCAAAACAGGACGTTTAAAAACATCCGGATTAGCAAACCATAAGCGGATTTAACCAGTAGGCCTACGCGTCATATTCAGCTCAGCTAAAAATATGGATAGATTTTAATTATATTTCCCAAGTTCAAAATTGTATTAAAAGTATAAAAAAAAACCTTCATTTAAATGTCCTGTTTAGTATAACATGCCCTTAGACAATTTTTTGTCAGGCTGCGTTATAAATTCCAGCTCCCTTTTAAACCACTAGCTCTTAGATCATTACTACTCACACTCGCACGCGCGCATACACACACGATCGAAGAGAGAGAGAGAGAGAGTCGTGTGCATTTCTTTAAAATAAATAAATTTATCTTATTTAAGAAAGAGGAAAAATGTAGGAAAAAAAACGTAATTTTATCCCACCAAACTTAACGCCTCCTGGACGTTCGCTCCAAATTTTCTTCGTCCCTCACACCCGCGTTGTGTCACCCCCTTCACGAATAGACATGCTTCGATCAACCTCTGCTCCGCCAATCAGATCCCGGCGAGGGAGAATTTCTCACCGGCCGATTGGATTGGCCGGTGTTTTTCTCCAGTCCGTTATATCGGGGCTAAGATGTGGGCCGAATTCTAACGCTTGGAAAGCCAATTTCGGTCGAGTTGATTTCAGTGGAAAGGGGCAACAGGTTGATGTAGGTTTTCAAAAATGGGCTCACTGATTAGGGTTAGAGTAAAGACAACGGGGTGAGGAGAGGGGTGGACGTTTGTATCGAACTAATAAATAACTGGGTGTAAGCTTGGGGTAGACCACATCTAGGTGACTGCCTTTGGCGAGTCTATGATTGGCATCGTTTACTGACACGAATCTGCGACTAATTATAGACCTACGCGAGGTGATGATAAAAGTCTTCTAGACCGTTTGCATGAAATAGTTGTAAGGAATTATTCCCAACTAGATCTAGATCGTTTACATGAAATGTGTACGGAATTATACCCAACTAGACTGATATTTATAACTACGCATGTTACACGACTATGGTTGGAATCCAAATAAGGCTATGTTCATCAGCGCTCAAAGTGGCAAACTAATAGAATTGCTCCATGTATATCGCGCATCTTCTCTGCGCATGCAGAATTTACTCCGCCCATTTTAGTTCGTTTTATTTTTCCCCTCAAAGCGGATTTTTCTCTCCCCCCCCCTCCCCCCACATCCCCCCCGCTTGTCTACTCTTTTTTAATCTTTTTTGGCAAGAAGATTAGGGGGAAGGGGGGTGCATGGGTTGGGCCCACATGCATGTTGATTACGTAAGCCTGCAGTTGGAAGGACGCGAGCGAGTGGCATTTTTTGTGCGTGTGTGTGAGAGGGAAGGAGAGAGCGGGAGAGAGCGGGAGAGAGCGGGAGAGAGCGGGAGAGAGCGGGCATGTTGGGAAGAGACAGAGAGACAGAGTGCAGGGGATGACTGCAGGAGCATGGCAGGCGCGAGCAGTGAGGGGAGATTTGGACAAGCGCGCTGACCGCTGGCTAGAGGGGGAGACGGGGGTAGGGAGGAATAAAGTCTTGTGGGGAGCTGCTAGGCTCGTGGACGTGCATACAGATAGGGAGGGCTGTGCGGGGTAAGGGCTGGGGTATATTATGTTAATTCATTCATAATTGGGGAAGCATTATATTTCGGTATTAATTAATGTTAATTAGTGGAATTCTAATGGTTATGTAATGAGCTCCCTTACTCCCCTTATGGTTCAATGCTTGCCCAAGCTCCGTTTCAAATTTAACGAGGGAAGGGTACATTTTCATCAAATTGAGACCATCTGTTGCCCAACAGTGCAGCTGTCACTATAAACAAACAGCCGACTAGGATGAACAAACTTACTCATTAAGAAAATGTTTTATTTAAACTTAAGTTAATTGAATATGTGTATTTCGTTTACTTATTGTTGATGGCATCATTAATTATATCATTAAATAGATAATGAAAAAAATATATACGTTACAAGCAATCTTTTTTTTTTATTAAAAAAATATTTTGCAACAAAGTATTAAAAATATTCTCTTTATTAATTTATAAGTTAAAAAAAATGCAAAAAAAAAAATAAAAAAAAAATGCGTGGACCTAGAACTATTTTTTGTTAACCTTGAAACGAGCGCAGCTTTATAATTATGTCCACTCCC